TGAAGGGGCTTTTGTTGGCATTTGTTTTATTTTCCTCAGACTAGTAACACTTCGCCCATAGCAAACACTCTGTGAACAATTATATAGAGGATGGATTAAGAGTCCAGGGCATGGGCTAGGGAGATGGCTCAGTAGAATAAGTGCTTGCCTGGCAAGCGCAAGGGTCTGAGTTCAATCCCTGGTTCTGCCAAAATAAATAAATAAATAAATAAAAATTAAAAAAAGAGTCCAGGGCATGCCCAGCTAGGGGAATTGAGACTGAGTCCAAGTCTGGGCTTGCAGAGTCTCTGTCTAGTGAGAAGGACCCCTGGTAAGTCTGAGCACAGGGCTGCACTGTGAACGGTGGAAAAGTCCTCACAGGAGTATCAAAAGTTGGAGACCTCATTGGCAACGGTAAGTAGCTCAGCGGATTAAACACCAGCCCGGGGCACGCTGAGACAGCTATTGAGACTGGGCATGGTGGCGCGCACCTGTAATCCTGGCTCTGAGGAGGCTGTACACAGGCGGATCACTACGAGTCCGATCTAGTAGTGAGACCCTGAACACCCTGTAGACCCTTTTCTAAAAATACAAAAATAAATAAATAACGAGTTAAAAACCAGCCTGAAAAAGTTAGATACCTGGTGAAACCCTGTCTCAAAATAAGTGAAAACCGATTCGGGGATGTAGTTTAGCACAAAGGCTATGTCAGTCCCCATCACCACAGCCAAAAAAGGAAACGATAGGAAGGAAGAGACATGAGAATTTCTAAGACAGAGCAATTGCGTTTTTCTAAAACTGCCCTTGACAAGTCAATTCCTGTGCAAAATGACCTTTAGAGTGTAATCAGTACAGGAAAGGAAAATTAGGATCCTTTCCTGCTGCTTCTCAATAGTCTTCAATGGCTCCAGTTTCACTTTAGAATAAAATTGCTTTCCCAGAGTTCAAGCACCTTATCAGTCAGACCAGGACCCACTCATCTCCTTTCAAAGACAACAAAAATTGCTTTGTGGCTGGAGGTACATCTGTTGAGGGCCAGATCTCAAAGATGGAATGACCAGGCATATAGGCCTCCCCAAGGGATAAGTAGTAAATTAAAGATTTTACTTTAATTGGTACCATCTTATCCCATAAAGTCCAGACAGACATCAGTTACCCAGGTGGGTGACCAGGACCTCCCAATCCAGCTCTTCCTTAAAAGGTCATATATGAACTGCTTCCCCATTGGATCAATCTTACCTAAATGGCTTTACTTGTAATCTTATTGGTTGTTCACAGGTTTGTCCCATGTTGTACCCACCTCATGATTTTGTACCCACCTAGTGATTTTATTCTATAAAACTCTGTTATGGTTTGTGTCTAGTTGTCCCCCAAGAGCCTCATGTAAGTCATAGGGCAGACTTACAGAATTTGTGATTAACTCATGGTCCACTGGGATTATGATTGTTAGTGCTACTGGGATTATGGGTGTGAGTACTACACCCGGCCTGGGGTGGATAGCCTGAACACAATTTGAGGGAGACGTTCTCTGTAGCCATTGTTGTTGTTACTCCTCCCTTTTGCTCTTGCGTTTTGCTGCCTTCTGTCACCATAAACTGCTGCCCTCTGCCCTGTGCCACTCTGCCTTGGAGCCAGCTGAGTATGGACTGAACCCTCCAGTAACTGTGAACTAAACAAGCCTTTCCTTCCTTCATTTTGAGTGTCGGGTATTTGTCCCAGTAATGAGAGAAGAAAAACTGAGACAAACTTCCTTTGAGAAGTAGTCTCATTAGCAGCTCTCTTTCAGGCCCCTTCCTGTCTCTCAGGAGCTATCTCTCTCAATAAAATTTGCCTACTCTTAATCTCCATTGTGCCTCAAAATTCATTCTTCAATTTGGGGGGACATGAACTTGGAGTATCTGACATTTAGCAAGTGGGGCGTTATATTATTTCCCGCATGTCACTTGCACTGCTTGGGAACTTAATTCTTTTTAGCACCGAAAAAGATTGCATCATATGGGTAAATCACAGGTTATGATTCAGTTACTAAAGGTCATCTTCATTGCTTCCAAGTATGGCAGCTCTTTGTTGCTGGAGACAGGCTCTCACCGTGCTGGCCACGCTGGGCTCCACTGATCTTCCTGCCTTAACCTCCCAAGGGGCACAGACACCACCGTACAGGCTTGGCTGTGATGAACACGGGTACTGGGAACATCTGTGTGCAGGTTTTTGTGTGCACATAAGTTCCTGACTCATTTGAGTCCAGCCCCATGAGCACATTTGCTGGCTCTTACAGTAGAGGTATGCTTAGTTTTATAAACAACTGCCAAACTGTCTTTCAGATGCTGTTCCATTTTCCCATCCCAGTAGCAATGAAGGAAAGCACCATTGCTACATGTCATTAGTACCTGTTTCGGATTTTAGCCATTCCAGTGGCCTTCCGTACATTCAGGAAATATTGTGAAAACTAAATTCACAAAAGACATTTTAAGGAAATTCAGATAGAATATTTTTGAAACCTTCGGAAGCACCCTGAATGAAAGTCACTAACCTGCTCTGACATATTATTTTGCAATAAAGGAAACAGACTGAGAGCTTTAAGCAGGCTGACCCAAAAGAATATGGAGATCTGTAAAGTAGTGAGAGGCTGCTAGCCCTTTGACAGTGGAGGTAGGATCAACCTTCAGGGACAGTGGACGCACCCCGATCTGAATCTTCCTGTCTCATGATAGTTCACAATGAAATGTTCGTTAGCTGATTGTTTAATAAGTCCACCTCACACGTGGAAATAGAGGGTTGGGAATAGAACTAATAAATACTTTTTATACCTATGTGGAAAATAAATCAAATTTCACCACCTTTCTCTCACATGAGACATTACTAATATCTCCAGCAGACCGGATCCTTGTGTCATCAGGCCTGAAAACCAACAGCTGACCTGAAAAATCATGTTCTCTTTTTTAAAATTATTTGCATACCCACTGTGGTGCGTCAGTAGGGCACATTCCAATTTTTATTTATACTCCACAAATATTTGATACCTGCTGTTCCGTGTGAGGTTTTTTGTTTTGTCTTTTTGTTTGTTTGTTTGGTTGGTTGGTTTGTATCTAGCAATTATTGCTTGGAGAATGAAAGACAAAGCATAAAAATACAATGTTAAATTGTCAACACTGCCCCCCAATACCACGCCCTAAAAGAATTCCATGCCTTCTTTATCCACAAGGGGGCACACCAGCACTTCTTTTCTTTTTTCCGCTGACTTACTCTACAAATGTAAAGAGAAAAGCAAAGTTAAGAATTAGATTGCCTTCATGAGCCACTGTGTTGGGTACAGAAGGACTCTGTTCAGGTAGCCTGGCCTGCTAATTGCTTCAGGCACTTGGACTTGGTTCTTTAGTCGGACATTACTCTGCCTCCTCCCTCAGTCAAAGAAGTATCTGATAAACAGGGAGTACTCATTCCGAAAGTTAAGGCTGGGGTGCTTCATTTGAATGTATATTTCACTAAGGAAAAACAAGACAGAAGAGAATCTATAATTATACTACAAAAAACTTCGGACTTCTTCCCCGTTTAAATATATATATATATATATATATATATATATATATGACTGCCCAATGCACTGAGGAGCAAACTGTTTACATGCGTGGAGACGTTCTTATTCCCCTGGATCCCAGCAGCACATGGTGAGGGCATGCGAAGAAAAGGACTGTAAGGGAAAACTGAGGAACAAG